CCGTCGGGTTTCTCGATTGCCGTCCAGAGGTGGTCGGCACCTGCCTCAAACGTGCGGCCTTCTTGATTGAACTCATCGCTCATGACCAGCGACCAGGTCTGTCCGCGAGATGACTTATGAGTGTGGGCATTTTCTGGTGTGTCAACATCAACCCACGGTAAAATGCTGGACTTAGTCGAGTAGGGCGCTTTTGATGCTGCTGTTGCAGAGAATAGCGCGTAGACGGCAATAAAGCATTTCCACATCGCCCAGTGTGTCATTGTTGCTTCTACTTGTTTTCTGCGCGTCAGATTAGAAGTGAGTTTGCTTTCTGAAATGCACTGCGATTGACAAATTGGCAGTATGTGCCATCTGGGTGGAATCCGCGTCGAGTTTACACATATTACTCGACGCGAATAAACTCAAAACCTAGGAGCAACTCAATGTGGAGACGAAAGAGCAACTCAACCAATTTCACCACCTGGTGCTCAATGCTATCGGTAGTTGTAGTACCAAAAAAAAAAACACACACACACACACAACTACAAGCAAAGCCGCGCATTCCACGGAATAACTCTGGATTTTATACGACTAAGCTTTGTGTCGTCATGGACGTAAGGTACATGTAAGATAATGTACGTATACTCAACTCCGACTGACAAAAGTTCGTGCTTCGTAGAGAAAGCATACTAATCTCTATTCATCATCAAATTGTAGATGAGTAGGCAATAGTACGCTTTCTCAACAAATTGATGATGAGTAGGCATTAGTATGCTTTTCTACGAAGCACGAACTTTGACTAGCACACGTAGGTAGTTCAATCTAATAACTAAAAGTTCTGGAAAAGGGAGGCCGTTAATTAACATTAAGCTGCTGAAAAGCAAACGAACTTATTATCAGTGAATAAAAAGTATGGTTTGCTTCAACAAAGCGATCTGATATAGACACCCAATGCTTAAATTGTGATGGTTCTTTTAGTTAGGCTTTAGAGTTTTACACAAGAGTGGGAGAAGTGCATCTGCAACTGTACAAAGCGCCTGTTGGGTCTGGAAAATGGCGAAAAATATCAAGATTTGGACAAAGCGATACTAAGTATCGCCATAGGCAACGGGGGGTTTGGACAATGGATAGAAGACATCGAGAATTTGGGTTCACCAAAGAAAAGAAATCGGTTGTTTACTGCAGCTTCCCCCTCCGTCATTCAAGTGCATTTTTTTATTTATTTACTCCTGAAATTTGGGAAAATCCAGTCTAGTTATTATTAGTACCATGTTTTATGAAGAGCGAATAGTCATTATTATTTTTCGAGCTCATTTTCATAAACCTCCTCTCTTTCATTTTGACCCAAAACTTGCTAGGTCGGCAATCCGTCCTACGGAATAAGCATTGGTATTTCTTAGGTTGCTTTATCGGATTCGGCCTATTTTACACTTAGACGAAATTCGTGCTGTACCCCGTCTTTTCTGGTCCGATGTTGACTTCACTCATTTGCGAGGTTGGCCCCGCTTGCTTCGATCGTTCCTCAATAGCGCGAACTTTCAGTCGCCGCTCATTTTCTCGTTTTTCGTTGCGAGCGGTATATAGTGTAGATGCGAACGTGGCAATTATGACTACAGCAGCAACTGCAATCGTCAAGCTCATTGGGGGTCCGTACTGAACGTCATCCTTTTTAACACTTGTAGCTTCCGTGCATCTTGGACCAGTCCAAGTGTGTGAGGCACACGCACATCGTCCATTGTTACAGTATCCTGTTCTCACGCTTGAAACACCTTTGGATGCAATGGTGCAATCGTCATCGGAGTTGCATGATGCTTTACCGGACACTCTTACAACCAGATTATCAAAATCCTGATAGCTGTCG